TTGACTTGTCAGTCATATGCTTGGAATTTCAGAGCAGCTGAGAGCAAGCTCAGTCCAGATTCCGGAGGCCAGCACAATGCTTTCAATCAAGAATTAGGGTAACAACCTTTGGATAAAATTTCACCTGCAAAATGGATTCCATATGGGTTAAGTATGAGTTTTGACATTGAAAAGAACTGAAGTTAGAAGACCACTAATAACTGGTAAAACAAATGACAATGTCTCCAGGAGGGAAGCACTTAATGAGATGTCAGAGAGACCAACAATATGCCTGATATTAATTAACTTCTTAATTATTATATGACAGGGAGAGCGGACTGCAAGTAGATGCAATTTTCTGATGGCAGATAATAAGGCGTGTTGTGGCATTACTGCAGACCATGACCCAGTGAAACGAGGAATTTCACCAGGCACATTTTACAAAGAAGCAGTTGCTTTGTGATTGATGTAATTAGGTAAAGAATATAACCCAATATTTAAAAAAATATAACCCAATAGGTCAGAATTTTCAAAACTGATGCAATTATTTTTAAACATGGCCCCATATTAAAATAAAAGAAAAATACATGCAAATAAATGTGTTATCAAATGATGAGAGTGAATTTAGACTAAATGGAGGGAGGTCCCAAAGTAATTAATACACTGGTACTCATAAATATATTCCCATATGATTGATCATTTAAAACTGCAAGAGCTCAGGCAACCCAAGAACTGCCGCCGAGCATTAGTGAAGTATGTTGAGGGTAGAGGGTGCTGGGTGGGAGCACTGGGGCTCTGGCTCCACAGCGAGCTTGTGTGGGTCACAGCTGTGGTTCAGGGTTCTGCTGTGCAGAGCCCAAAGCCGACTGCACAGCGGGACACAGGGCCTCTGTGTACGTGTGTGTGTGATGAGAGCTAGTGAACCTGAGGACACTCTGTCTTCACACGTTTCTGGAGCAGGTCCCATCCCATGACTTCCGGTCCCTGACTTCCATCTGGATTAGGGTGCAAACCACTTAATCAGCCTCCTGGGTTCCAGCCTTGCCCTGCACCCTCCCCTCCCCCCGTGACTGGAACCCTTGGCAATGTGTCTGAATGTGTCATCCTCTTTGTCTCCCAGAGTCACCAGCATGGAGGCTGCAGGGATCTAGAGCCTGGTGCCTCCTGGTCACATGTTTTCCAGCGCCTGGAGCAGCCCTCCCGAATCAGTGCTGTCCCCACTAACAGGCATGCTCCCTGGGGCATCGTCTCACATGTTCTTGGTGTCACTGATGAAATGTCTCATTGAGTGAGGCTCCTGATGCTCTGTAATTAAAGCATCCCTCAGAACACTGGGGTGGTTCTCTATCACACATGAAATATCTTACTTTACGCTCCTATGTGATTACCGAATTCTCTCTCCCAGCTAAAATTCAAGCCTCATGAAGCCCATGCTTTCTGTTGCCTTCACTATGAGTGCACCCCTTGCACTTAGAACAACAGTGCCTTGTGTAAATAGATCCTCAATAAACACCTTACATGAATGGAAGAGAAAGTATAAAACAGAGTGATGTCTCAATTAGCAAAAAGAATCAGAGCCTGCTTCACAAGTCAAATGTCTAGCAATATCTAATTTTAATTAAGAATGGGTGGGTAGCAAAATATACAAGGAACTTCCATCCCTCAGAAGTCTGTGCTTTATTACTCAATGATTTCAGAATGGAGATTCAAAAGAACATGCTATTTATCAGCTCCTCAAGCAACTCGACAAACAGTAAATATACTAGGGGTATTAAGGAATAGCACAGGACATTGGGGAATGAAACCTGCACCGTATTTCGCTTAATGTTAAGGCAGGGTATCTAGACCTGGGTGGTGTGAGGGGGCTCATTACCCTGATCATCACTGTCTTAGCTTAAGTCTGCAATCTCAGGCCCTAAGACACATGGTAGAACCATACTGCAAGACAGCTACAGCTTTGCCCAAAGACGAGTGCCTGTTCCTTATCAGCCCAATAAGGATCAATGTTTTCAAGCAAACATGTGTAAGGGATAAGCATCAGGCTTCAGCGAGCACCTCTCAGTCTTAGAGGACTCTGCAAGAGCCAAGACCCAGAGTGTTCTGGCTAATGCATGGTGGGTGTACACCAACCTCAACGCTGGCTGTGTACACATCTCAGCCAGCAATGCAAGGCAGCTCGTGGGCCTCTGTGTACTGTGGCTCCTACTCTTTCTGGGTTGCTTGATGACACTGTGTGTGAAGCATTCTTTCTTGGGCTGAGACCATCTGACAGCAATCCTAGAGATAAGAATGTAAAAAGTTCTGTGATAAGGGAAGCCTTTGTACTTCGTTCATAGCTGAGGAACTAGACTCCAGAAAAACATGGGGTGCAGAAAGGTGGAAACTAACTAGTTCTGAATTAATGGTGAGTATAATGTTTGATACATTGTGTCAATCTGAGATGTCTAGGTGCTTAACTAAGTACCTCAGCAGTTCTACATCCTGGGGTGTAGAGGACGTGCCCTTACTGGTCGAGGGTGTTGTTCATTGTATCAACTTGAAAAGTTTAGAAGATTAAGTGACTCTTCAGGGAACCAGGGTGCTCACTAGTAAACTTCCTTATCATGTGCAAGTGGAGCTGAGGGAAATGATGTGAGTACTACACCCATCCTGAGGGAGGCAGCTTGCTCACAATATAAGGGAGCAAAAAGGCTTGGTCTCCTCCCATTTTTCTCTTGTTGCTTTTGCTGTCTTCAGCTGAACTCTGGCCCTCTGTCATGTGCCACGCTGCCTTGGAACCAGTTGATTATGGACTAAAACCTCCACAAACTATGAACTAAATAAGCCTTTCCCTTTTTAACTTTGGACATTGGGTATTTTGTCCCAGCAATGAGAGAAAAGTTACCAAGACAGTGAGCAATTGGTTTAATCACATGCACTGTCCCTTTATGTATTTCAATGGTAGAGAGGGCACCGAGGGCCAGAGCTGCTCTGTGGAAGCAGATGGCAGGGAAGCAGATTTTCCTCCTTGGCAGGACACCTGCTGGGGACAAAGTTACATTTGCTGTTTCCGCCTTGTTCTGCTTCACAAGTGGACACCATTTTCTATCAAACAAGGCCAGTAGCTGGGACATCTAGCAAGTGTCATCCTAGTGGACACAGTTTCACAGCAATCGCTCTCGCTCTGGTTATTCACACTCACCATCACATCCAAATCCTGTCCCCTGAGCTGGTTTCCTTCCCCTGTGAGGTGAGGATGGGCCCCCAAGCAAGCAGATGCCCTCCCCAACTGCCCTTCTCTGTGCACTTGCTGTGGGGACCTCTGGGCCAGTGGGCTGGGCCAGCAAGGTGGTCAAGCAGAGAGAGCAGAAGCCCGGAGCCTGGGCTGCTGCTCGTGTGGCCCAGCTGCCCCTCAGGCTGCTGCTGGCTGCCTTTGCACGCCTCCCTTTCAGAACATGTTTGTATGGTGTGAAGTTCTGCATATCCAACTAGAAGGCTTCCTCCAAGCCATGCCCACCTCAGGGTGGACAGTCCAGTGGTCCACGGCCAGTTTGTCCTAGGGCCCAGGAACAAGAAGAGAGCTGCTTTTCAATCAGAGAACCACTTTGCACGTGGGAGCCAAAGCCGGACTCCTACGCTGTCCTGCTCTGCCTCCTCCGCTGCGCTCCTCAGATGCCCCGAGCAGCTTTGTCTCCTGCAGACTCTGTTAATGCCAGCTGTGGTGTGAAAGCCTGGGACCACTGGCCAGGGCACATTGCACACCTCTGCATGGAGCTCTTCTCTGCCCCAGCCCTTTCTTGCTCGAAACAGCTAGATTTATAGTTGGGTGCAGTGAGGCACACTGTAATTTTAGCACTGTGGGAAACTGAGGGGGGGTCATACATTTGAGCTCAGCCTGGGCAACTTAGCAAGACTCTGTCTTAGAATGAGAGAGAGAGAGAGAGAGAGAGAGAGAGAGAGAGAGAGAGAGAGAGAGAGAGAGAGAGAACTGGGGATATAGCTTAGTACAAGAATCTTAGGCTCAACCCTCAGGACTAGAAAACAAAACAAAACAAATCTTCCAGGCCTGTAGCTCACCAGGCAAAACACATGGGAGAAACCCCCACCCCCAAACCTTGCCGCATGCTGTGCAGTTTTATACCTTTTGTGGGGTGCAGGGTGCAGTCACCTGTGTCTCAGCTGCCTGGACCCCACATCATCCTACTCCTCTGACCAGGGTCACTATGGGAACTTTGCCCTACAGCTTTGTGGGGCTTCTGGCATATTGACAGAAGAAGTGTTAAGGTGCTTGTTACTTCTGATGCCTGGGTTCAAGGCAGCAGAGTGTTGAGGAAAAAGATGATCTGGGTCAGCATGGGTTGGGCATTAGAGGGACTCAGGAAGCCCATGTTCACCCAGATTAGGTATGTACACCCCCTCCCCTGTGAGAGTGGACCTTTGATCTTTGGACTGGAACAAAAGTCAGTTTCCTGAAATATTTTTTTTGTTATCTCTATTAATTTCTGTACAACAGACCTCTTCCCCCAACTGTCCAGAGTCCCCACCTAACTCCTTTCATGAGCTCTTTTAACTGCAGTAATCACAATTCCAACTCCTCTTGTGGTTACAGAGCTATCCTTTTGGAAATCTTTGAAGTCTTTTTTTTTCAGATTGCTCATGCCTGTATTTGCCCTGGATTGCAACTCTAAGTAACCCAAACAAACGTATTTCTTTTCTGTTCTAATTTGATTATAGTCTCAGCCCAAGATAATGTTATCAGTGCAACAAACCAATAGGATGATGTGCTGCTGGCCAGGCCAAGGTCCCTCTGGACTGTATTTTGGCAAAGAACAGAATATTTGACACAGTCTCTAAACAGATACTATGCTTGCTGGATTCTCCCTGTTTCTGAATTGAATTCTCTTCCTGCTGAGAATTTCCAGACTGATGGGGACACTGCCAGCAGGGGAGGTGGGTGTTGACTTTCTCCCAGAAAAATAAAGGGAGGGGGTTGATGAAAATAGAGTGAATGTTTAAATTCTAAAATTTATTACAGTGAAAGAGGCATTACCATTTATCCCTCTCAGAAGACTCCTTGTCTTCAAACACACTCATCTCATCATTCCGGCCACTTTCCGAAACAGTTCTGAGAGCCCTCATCCTGAGTGTCTGTGAGGTGTGAGCAGAAACAGCTGCTGATAGGCTGAGTGACATCCGAAGAAAGACAGCCTGCAAAAGCTCAGCGCTGAGCCTTTGCCCATCTGATTTCCTGCATCTGGCACTGTGAGACTTCCGGCCTTTTCTCAAAGTCAGAATGACGATGAAAGGGAAAGGTCTGAGCTGGTTCAGGGCATGGGGCAGCAGTGACAGTGCAGTAAAGACCCTCAGGAAAGAGCCCTTCCAGAGCTGCTGCAGAAAGCGGAAGTCCAAGGCACATGGCAGAGAATGGCTGGGACTGATGCATCCGACCAGGGTGATGACAGCGGAGACTGTGCTTGTGCGTGTGGGTGGTGTGGTCAAACAGTACAGAGAACGATGCCATTAAGAATGATTTAACTGCAAAAGACACATTGCAATGAATCCCCCTCAAAATACCGTCCCTCTCCTCTCACCCTTCTTGCCACTTTCTGAAGCAGCTCTGAAGTCCTCTTTGCTGCCTGTCTTTGGTTGTACTGCTGTGGCTGCCTGGATGCCCTGAATCAATTCAAAATCTTTAATTAGGCATCCTGCATCTTGCCTGGGAAACTTAGACCTGTGACAGTGACAACTTAATAATGCTACCTCATGTTAGAGAAATAATCAGCAACCTTCAGATGAATGCATGGTTTCCAGAGATCTGCGTTCATTGCTCAGAAGAGGGTCTGGTCCAGTGTGGAAGCTCCACAGCACTGTGGACCTATGCCATTGTCGACTTCTTAGTCTCCAACTGTGGATTCCCCATGTCCACATTCCAACCTGTGGAGAGAAGATGGCTGTCGGGGAGAAAGTCAAAGTAGAATCCTCTGTTATGTCAACATAATAAACCAAAACCCCCACCCCTGGGGAATTTCTAGAACCAGTGTTCCCTTAAAGACTAATTCTTACCACTTTCTTATTTACCTGGTCAGCCGCTGCCTAGTTAAACTGAAGTTTCAGGTTAGCAATGTGGTAGCTTTTGTTACTGTAAGGAATCCCTGAGATAAATGAATGCTGAAAAGTTCACTGTGGCTCGTGGTTTTTGAGGTGTTATTCCATGGCCAGAAGGACTCAATACTTTGGAGTCTGCAGCATGGTAGCCTAGTGGGGTACTTGTGATGGGGCTGAGAAGCCACTTCATGGCTATGCAAAATTCAGAACAGAAGAGGCCTTCTCGGGAACCTCTTCAGTGATCTAAGATCACTGCTAGGTCCCACTTCTGAAAGACCCCAGAACCTCTCCAGGGACCCATACTAGGGAATAAGCCATTAGTACATGGGCTTTGAGAGGCTTTCTGGGTCCAAGTTATGGCAAGCAGCAAGTGTTTTTAGTTAAACATAGCAATTGATTTACAATTTTAACATATTAAGCAGTTAGTTATTGTTTATCCGAAACTCAAACCTTACAGGACTTCTCTGGGTTTCTCTCCTATAACTGCAGCCCTGCATGGACCTCCAGTTCTCCAGACTCCCTTCTGTGTCCTCTGATTATCACATGGTGCATCCACCCTCATGGGCACTTGGCGTCCACCTTCCTGGGGATTTGGTGGAGATGGTCACATGGCTCTGGACATCAGAGATTATCAGGAATCTCTCAAGAGTGTCATGTCCTGTACATAACCCTGCCCTTCAGATTCCATGGATCATGTTTACCCCAAACAAGCACAGGCAAGCAGGGCCAGGTCTTCAGTAAACTGCCCACCCTTGTCCACATGTGCTGTGCCCAGCTTAGCACTTCGGTTTTCTTACCTTCCGAGGATGCCAGTCTGTATTTTCTTTCCGAGACACTGTAAGTGAAGGTAATAAATAAATAAAACTTTTCCATTAGCGTTAGATTCGTGTCAACACCTTGGTCTGCTGGAGTTCCTTCATTACTGTCACTGCTTGTCTTAATGAGGTGATTAATTACACATGACTTACTGCCCGGGCCCTCCATAGAAGCAGGGTCCGTGGGACTGGTGGTGTGTATGCACACGCAGAAATGAAACTTCTAGACAGGATGTCTCACTGTATTTGATACACTATAAAATCTATATGATATTGTATACAGTATTATAATACACTTAATAATACATTATAATGTATAAAATACAACTTGATACATGATATAGTGACACAATATATAATATTTACACAGGATATATTGTATTGGTACGTTTATTATACAATATGGGTTGCATAATGCGTAGACTATGATATAATTCATAAGTAATATATAATATTTATTATATAATATCTATGATACGTATTTAATGTTAAATACAAGTAGGATATCCTATATGCTATGTAATTATATATAATAGATCTATATATAATGATATAGTGCATATATGACATACATTAATTAGTAAAGTAATAAATAATTATACACAGCATGTTTTATATGTCTTAAGAAAAAAGAGAGAATGGAAGAGGAGGAGAAGGTGACAGAAACTTACTGATTTTGATGACCCCTTCAGGACCTGGAGGCCCCGAGGACCTGCAACCTGCAGGGCAGTGCACACTGCTGGCTACCCCTGAAGGCACAGCTCCCCTTCCCTTGGGAACCTTTGTCTTTTATTATTATGCATTTCATTTAATATTAGTGACTGCTCAAAATATAGGCCCCCATAAAAATAAGAATTAAAAATTGGGAACGAAAGATGAATAGATAATTCTCAGAAAGATAAGAACAAACGGCCAATATGCACCCTAAGGTTCAGCACCTTTGGTCATCGGAGAAATGAAAATTTAAATAAAACTGAGGTTTCATTTTAGCCTGGAAAGAATGGCAGCTATCAAGCACTTGGGAACCATGGAGTTCTTGCAAGAATGTGAAGGGAAAGAAGCCCTTCTACTTGTTGCTGAGTGCAGACTAATAGAACTCTGTGGAAATCAGCAGGGAATTTCCTCAAAATATCAAGTAAGAGCTGCATTTCCACAGCTGCCTCTCTCCAGGAGTCCCCGGGAAGGGACTCTGCTCGTGCTCTTCTGCTCTCAGCCACTTGCAGTGGCCCCTGCACAGGACTGAGCCCAGCCTGCCTTACTGCAAGCCTCCAGTGTTGCCTGTTAACCCCACACAGACCATGCCTCCACAGCACCTGGAGCTTCTCAGCACCTCAGTGCCGAATTGGTTTTGGCTAAGACTGCATAGGCCCCATGGCCCCGTGCAGCTGACACGCGGAATTAACTACAGCAGCCATGGTCCTACTGGGTTCTGTTCTCTGTCCTGTCCCCGCTCTTGGTCCAGTGCAATGACAGCTGGACCACAATCAGTGCCAGCTGATGTGTGATCATGTGTGACTCCAGTCTCTCTATAGATAAACCTTCTAAAAGGATTGTTCTCTGTGTAAAATATTTCTTGAGCTAAAACAGCAGTGTATGAGAAGGGACCGAGAGGGACCACCACCACACACAATGCAGCTCTGGGATTAAAGAAGCCACAGTGATCTCTTGTAACAAAAGAAGCACCTTATACAGTTATAGGTAATATGAGGGTGACCTCGCAGAAGGAAGGGGAGGGGTGATGGTGCCATGGCGTGCCCATGGCGGGCTGGAGCTACTGGACAGTTTGAGGTGCAGGTGAAGTCAGGGTGATGGCAGCTGACAGCTGTGACTTTCCAAGGCTGGCACAGAATGTGTGTGCATGTGAGCAGTAGAGACAGAGAACAGCTCGCACATCCTGCTGTCTACAAGGTGACTGCTCTGAAGTCTCACAGGCAGGTATGCCAAGGAATTAGGGCAGGAACTAATTGTAAAGTGTTCCTTTTCAATTTCTCAAAAAATGTTTATTCCAACTATAGAAAATCTATTTCAAACAGACTGCAAACACACCAGTAAGAGGACAAATGCTATAAACATGGCCACACTGAATCATCAGGCCCAGGGTGAACAGCCACCCTTTCTGCCGGGATGCACCTCAGAAGCAAGACAAGTTCCAACCCAGTAGGCAGCGAGATGCCTGTCTCCCCTCATGACACCTGACCCGGCTCTACCTGAGGTCCATGCACCCCAGGGTTTTCCCAGCAGCCCCCTTCCTGTAATCTGCACTGCTAGCATTTCTGCATGGCCAGAAAATATGCCCAGATTTTGAAGGAGATTGAAGTGAGACCCTGATACGGGCACCAAACAAGGTCTGGTCTCTCATCTGTGGAACGTGAGTTTCTTAGCTTGGTTGCCAGTGGAACCCTGATGTAAACTCTGTGCTAGCCACCTAGAAATTGACATCACTGGAAGGAAAGCAATACTGAGAAAGGAGGACATGTATTAGCTCTTTCTCTTTTTCCTCACTACCCACCCCACAAAAGACAACAAGAGAAAGGAGTACATGAATCCTGTGATGAAATGGGAGAGCTGTTTCATTCTTAATACGTAATTTAATGCATTGTTAAGATCCAAGAACATCATTTAGCTGATGAGACCTAGAATTCAAAATGCATAGCAAAAACAAATCATAAATCACAGAATAACAGAGAGGAAAATTGATTAATCAGATTGCTGTTGAAAATAGCAAAGTCTTTTAAGAGTTGTTTCAAAGTTCCAGTGAGGAAGCATTTGATGAATGTGCTGCGCTGGCCCCATGACTGAGGCAAGCAGCTTGCAGATTGCACACCAAGGAAGCAGTGCGTCTTCTCCACTTTGGAGGAGACTTGGGGACCTGAGGACAATGCAGAGAGCATTGCAGCAGGGCTGCTCCATGTGCTGATCAACCTCACTGCTGGAATTGACATGGACACTGTCTGGCACAGTTTTGTTTAACTGGCAACAGCGCATCTGTGCAGCCCAAGGACTCTGATTCTAAGTACTCCATGGTCTGACCTTCTGGGGGCTGATGGGGAGGTCACCCTCTTGAGTGTTACTTGGTCTCACTGGACCTTCTCCTGTAACAGTACAAGTTCACAGGCGGCAAGCAGGGTGCCTCTGTTTGATCCCAGTCTTGCCTGACACACTGAACATCCAGTACATGGGGTTGAAATGGTCCATCATTTTGCTTAGATCTGCTGAAGCACACAGAGCTGCATAGACAGAGGATTGAACATGAAGGGCATGAGCTCAAGGGAGTGGACCACAGGAAACCCAGTGGGACCTATGTGTCCAGGGCTTCCCGGTCACTCTGCAGTGCTCCTTCCTTTTGGCACAGGAGGACTCTTTGGAAAGCAGGGATCTTATATTTGGTCAGTAAGTAAGGTAAGGGAGCTACCACATGGCCTGGTGATGTGGATCGGGAGGGTCTAGAGTAATAGAATTCATGGCTGGGTTGGCCCAGGAGGCTCCCCTGCCCCGGGTCCATCTTTTGGAAGCAGCATTCTGGTGTCAGTGATTGCTTGGGGTTAGTAAGTTATGAGAGGGTGGGAGGAGGTCAAAGAGTAACAGCTTCTGAGGCCTTCACTTCGGGCTGGTGCATGAGGGCACTGACATCAGGGTTCACTTATTCTGAGAAAGGCCGCCCTGCCTCGTGGACTCCCCCAGTCATGAGCCCTCTTATCTTGTGAACGCAGCACTGGCAAAGTGCAGAGTCCATCCTCTAAAACACCAGTCCCCGACCTTGGCACAGGTTTCGTGGAAGATGATATTTCAAGACACATGAGTGGGAGGATGGTTAGGGGATGACTGGAGGAAACACACCCTGCATCGATCGAGCAGGGCCTGAGCTCCTGTGAGAATCTGGCGCCCTCTGATTTGATGAGGGAGCCGAGGTGGGGATACAAGCCCCTGGGAATGGAGGACACAGAGGGAGTGTCCTCCCTCCTGCCGGGTGACCTGGCTGACAGCAGATCAAGGGCTTGCACAGGTGTAGGGCCCAGGTCTGGGGACTCTGCTAGGAGACACGCAGCATCCAAAGGAGATTCCATGGGGATTCAGCTTTGCATTTGACTGGCTGATGGTGGAGAGGAGTTTGGAGTTTAAAATCTTGCAGGCTGTTTTTCAGGGCCCCACGGCTGACTTTTTTCTAAAACCCTGGCCCCCAACAATGAAGAACACCAGAAAGAACATTAGCAATATTGATAAAAATAACTCAATAACATAATCTATCTTCTTAAAAAAAAAAAAAAAAAAAAACCTGCGGCATTAGCAGCACCATAAATTAAGCCGCCTCACTGCAGAGTTGAGCCTGGTGGACTCCGCAGTGGCTCCTGACTGATGGCCTCACGCGTGGCGCCTTGCTTAATGATGGAGGATGGATTCCCAGGACGCGTCCCATCAATCCTCTGCGTGGAGCCTGTCACATACTGTTAGAGGAATGTCGCAGTGCATCAGCTAAATCTGACACCAGAAAGCAAGACGGCTGCGAGCTCCACTCCCGAGACAAAGGCAATGGAGAGAGACGGGCAGAGAGGGCTTCTCTGCAGTGTGCCCAGGTGCGTGGCAGCACAGAGCAGCTGCGAGGAGCAGGAAAGGGTCACACTGGCGTCCCAGAGGTGGTGGAGGAGACACAACAGGTGCCAGGGCTGCAGCGGCGTTGACACCCAGAGCACGTTTTAGTGGCCGCTCCTTGTGTCTGGGGAAGCAGAGTCCCCAGCGATAGTAACCACCATCCCCTGCCAAAACTCTGTCACGTGTCCCTCCTGAACATGGCATGGGGCTCCTCATCCTTATTACAGTTTCCATGGGATTCCCTGTCACTCAGTAGCCAACTCTGCACCACATTATTAAGGGGCACAGGAAATGAGAATGACTTCCTTCCACATCCACACTGGAGCCCTCCCAGCTAGCTTTCAGGCTCTGCTGGCCATCAGCTAACTGCCCTCCCAATGGGCAGAAAGAGCTTTAATTTTAACCTATTTGTCAAGCGTCACACATTTCTCAA